AATTGTGTTAAGTACTGATATGAAAAGTACTTAATTGAGATCTCTTAAAGCAAGGTTTTAATTAAATTTTTCCTTGTGAAGCCCAGCAGGTGGCATAGTGGTTACGGCATTGGACTCCCACATGGCCACCTGGGAGTCCGAGCCCCAGACCCAGTGGCTTGAAAATCACACTAGGCATGTATGTGTGTGTGTGCCCAAAATCTCAAGAGGAGAATGGAGAAGAAGGGACTGTAATATGGCCATCCCACCTGGGGGCCAATTTCTCACTTTCCCTCTCTCTGTTTCTCCCTGTCTCTCACCAACAAGCACACATGCCCTATGGTAAAATTTATTTTTAAAAAAAATTCTCTTCCATAACAGTTTTTGTTTTTAAAAGAAGTCTGCTTCTGTTTGCTTTGGCTACTCTAGTCCTTCACTGGCTATTACTGACCCATGCAGGAATTATTTCAATTGTGAAAATGTTCATCTTTAAATCCTTCACAGCCAATGATTCATTACAACTACAATCACACTTTGTATTTAAAACACCTGGTTGAGCTATATCTGGGCATCTAAATTATTTACAGTACCAAGCTGAAAGAAAGATTTATATTTTTTTCACAAAGTGAGCAGTTACTAGAAAGGATAACAATTCAGGAAGTATTCAAAACTAACTAAGAAGATTTTCTGGGTCATCGAAAGGTACAGCAACTGAACTGTGTAAAATATAATCAGCAAACTAAGAAATTGAAAATGAGTCCTAGTTGTCAATTTGATGTCATTTGCAAAGACACCACAAAGCAAAGAAAACTTGGTAGTTTTAGATGAATTCCAACAAAAATCCCCCATCACAACAAAAAGCTTTTTTTTTTTCTTTTGGTAGAGAGATTTTTGCTATAGGGCACATGCAGTTGCCAGAGAGACAGAGAGAGACAAAAAGTGAGAAATCACTCCACAAGGTGGGGATGGCCATGCCGCAATCCCCTCTCCTCCATTCTCATCTTGAGATTTGGGGCATGCACGTCCAAGCACTCAGCATGAGTTTTAAGCTGCCAGGTCCAGGACTCAAACTGTGGTAGACTATATGAGAGTCCAGCAACATAAACATTATACCATCTGTTGATCTCATACTACAAAAAGCTTTTAAACTACCTTTTCAATCTTTTTTTTTTTTTAATTAGGTTGTCAGGAAAGTCATGACCTATTTCTATGCAAAAATTTCTATGCAAAAATGTGTCATGACTTTTCCTGGTGACTCAATAATTTGCTAGAGGGTACATGCACTTGCAGTAAAGAGACTGAGAGGAGAGAAAGCAAGAAAGCACTCCCTATGGCGGCAGGGTGGGGGGTGCCGTGCAGTGATCCCTTTTCCTCTCTTTCTCCCTTCACTGGGGATTTAGAGCATGCATGCACATGCTCCAGGGTCTGTTTTTCAGCCACCAAGTCCAGGACTCAAGCCACGTATTCAGCCATTTGAGAGCCAGCCTTAACCACCACACCACCAGCTGGCCCTTAAATCACTTTTTCAATTTAAGTATGCTTTTTCTCTTAATTACCAGTGATTTATAATACCAAATTATTTTTTTAAATTTAATGAAGAAAAATATTACCATCAAAATACTGTTACTAATCACATGGACCAGGCTATTTTTTCTTTTCTTCTTCTTATTATTATTATTTATACATTCAACCACTATACATCATTTAGATTGTAAGGAGACTTTATCCAGCATGATATAAAACTCAAACCAGTCCAGTTGAGAATACTATACACGTCATCATCAACAGGTAATAAACCATATCTGTGTCCCACAAATATTTTACCTCTCTATTTTTGTTCCCAAATTTTGTTTTCGACACTCTATATCTGGTCCTCAGAATAACTGTGTGAGGTGGAGTTATTATCTTTTGTAAATGACAACGTTGAGGTATGATATGATTAAGTAACTGTCCATACAAAGTGCAGCAAAATGAGGGGAGTTGAGATTTCAACTCAAGCTACCTACTCAAATCTCACACACTAAACTACTCTATAACAAAAAATACTCTTATACTTTATTGACTGCAATTCACAAAGGACATATATTTTACATAATAACCCAGTATACCCACATATATAACAAAAAATATTTCCTGAAGAAATTCTTACACATAATGCCATCTGGATATATTTCCCATTCTATCTATCCTTTAAATTCTATTTGCTATTCCCTAAACTGTTTTCCCAGAGAGTTAATGGGTCACATCAAACTTTAATAAGTACTGTTATTTTTAAAAGTATATTAATTAGTTCAGTAGTTAGAAATGAATATGATTGGGGAAACAAAATAGCACAATAAGAAAAAATTTCAAGCTCTAAAACATCACAAATTTAAGGTAAATTTCTATCTTAGTTATTTGTGTGAGCTTGAACAAGTTGTGATTAGTAAGTGAGCCAATTTATAAGAAGCATTAGCACACAGTCTAGGACATAGCAAAGACTCAACATGTTACATGTATAAAGTATAACATCTTCTATATTTTTTTAAGAGATATTTTTGCTATATAGGGCATGTGCACTCACTGGAGAAAAAAAGAAAGAGAGACAGAAAGCAAGAAATCACCCCTCAAGGGTGATGGCCATGCCACAATCTCTTCTCCTCTCAGGATTTTTGGATACATGCCTGGTATGAGTTTAAGGCATCAGATCTAGGATTTGAACACCACAGTCAACTACGTGGAAGTCCAGCACCATAACCATTATACCATCTGCTGGTCCCAAAGTATAACATCTTCTAGCTTAGGGTGATTTTCTCTCAGCTGAATAAATGTGACATGGATAAATCTCTCACTACTTGGATCCATTTTAAAGATAAAATTGTCTACGTTACTATATTCTTTTGCCATAAATTAAAAAATAGATTGTGCAAATTTCCCATACACACCATCTTCACTAGGACGGTATACATTATATCTGTTAATCTTGCTCTGAAAATGGTAATTAAAACCACATATTTACAGAATCCAACACATACAAGTATATTATTATCCTTTAAGTAGTTCAGATATTCATTAGCTACAGGATCACTTATTAAGTAATTACCATATATTTAATATTCTAAGTAGCTCAGATGCATAGTACTTAAAATATTCACAAATTTAGGAAAGGAAAATCAAGATTAAGAAACTATAAGGACTCTTTCTTAATTATTCTTCTCCCACTACTAGCTCTTTCCTGTTATATCCAAAAGTAAGACAGAACATTTATTTCAAATCCTTTTTCATTCTTCAAAATCCTTCTTCCCAAATAAGCCAACTCTTAATGCATACACATGTCTAGGCGAATTTAAACTCCAGAATCTACACCACTTTATAGCAAGGTTTCACTTTGTGATACTTGAGGAGTGTTAAAAACAAACAAACAAAAATAAAAACCTTTGGCCTGTCCTCTTATCCTACTGTCATACTGCTTATAATAAACTGGTCTAGGGAAAGTCTAATAACTGGTATTAAAAAAACAAAAAAAAAACTCTCCAGTTAATTGGAATGTTTAACCAAGTTTGAAAAACACTCTACTCAAGCATTCAGTGAGCTTCTACAAGAACTGCTGGACTGACTGGATCACGGTTCTATAGATTCAGTTGCCAAACTGACAATGCAACTATTATGTCTTTGTTTCAATAAACAATAACAATACAGAAGTTTACCTTCTCTCAGTCTTTCTCTTAACTCCAATAGAAGCCCAGACAGAGGTATTTAAGAGGGGAGACTTTTCTGTGAATGTTCTTTTTCTTCTTGAATTTTCCAGTCGTGGCTATCTAAACCAAGTAACCAGCAAGTGTACGATTAAACAACAGTCTGTTCCAAAGAAGAATCACCTTCCAAGGTAGGTATTTAAAAATATAAATGGAATTAAGGATTTTGATTCTGGAATTCTAATGTTTGCTCATATTCATGAAAATAATTTCTCACAGCTCTTAATAGAAATAGTCATTCTACCTGAAATTCTCAGAAGTATTTTTTTAAAGTTGTCAGTAGTAAAGCTTGACAAATATTTAACATTTCTGCAAAGTACGTCAAGGACAGCATTAATGTTACTTAGTTGAAAAATTTGCATACAATTTCACACTGACTTTTTTATTTATGCATTTTGTTGGACTCTAAAGTTAATAATATGGAAGAGTATTAATGATAAATATAGATTTGCATTTCTGTTATCATTTGAGTTGGTTTTATGTATTGCTAAGCTGCATATTAGAAAAAGTGATTTTAAGGGAGTAGTCACATGAATATACAACTGTAGAATCTGGGAGTCATTCTTCCTGTGTCAATTTTAAGGCTGGTACGAATGACAGATCCCAAGACAACCTGTCAGAATGATGGTGCTCAAACTTTGCCTCCACTGAATACTATGCTTTTGCAAATTAGAAACAAATTTAGGACAAAATTTTTTTCCAAATTCCTAGTGGACAATAGTTGGCTTTTGGCAATTACTTGGAAAAAATCATACTGAGGCAATAATATTTTAGCAGAGTGATCTCAAAGGAAAGATAAATATTGCACAATTCTTTTCCCTTCTGAGAATTCTAATAATAATACAGTAATTGTATGAAGGTTTTTTTTTTCAACAATAGTCTAGTCACAATGATAATACCCTGCTCATAAGTCCATCAGTTTTGACTAGCTTTAAGCAAACATAGCAAAAGTATACTCAAATAAGCTATGTTCCTTCAAAGTAGTACCACTAGAGGAAACAAGGATTTTTCAAAAATGCTTATATTTTTAAAATGTACTTTGAACAATTATCTGAAAGTTTTTTGTTATAAAATACAAACATAAAAATACTTTGTGTATATGCTTCTTCCTTTACCTATACGTCAACTAAGCACATCTTGCTGTGATGCTCTTTCTTTGTCATTGTACATTAAAAGTATTAAAATCATTTCAAAATTTCTTTTTTAAATTCTGAAAAAAAACTGCTATTTACTGATTTAACTAACCATAGGCAATCACTGGCCTACTTTCAGGACCAACAGTGAAGAATGAAAAAATTAAATTTCACCTTAAGCCTGCTGGCTCTTATTTCATGTTTTACGGTAAGCTCTCCCAGTCCTGAATGTCTTTGATATATTTCTCATTAACCATAACTTCAAAGAAAGTTTTGATATAATGACGGTGTTCTTCTTTATACAAAAATACAGTGTCAAGATATTGAGATTATGCCTTTGTTCTTATTTTCCTTTTTCTTTCTCATTTGTATATGATTAACCACCTGGTCAGTAGCTTTGGGCATGAGGGGACACTGGCTTATGAGGGAGTTTGCATGAGGAGGACAGAAGGAAGGTAGAATCTCAGACAACCCTCTGTTATCTAAGAACATCTCTTCCCTTTCTTTTCTTTCTCAAAAGAGCTACAATCAGATTATCAGAAAAAATATAATTTAAGTTTACCAAATGCTTTAGGACGACAAGAAATGTCAAAGTAAAATGTTGGAACTTCATGTAAATTCTCTAAAAGGGCAACTTGAGGTACTAATACAAGTATTATTATGTAAAAGTTTTTATTGAAAAATATTTATAAAAACTAAAATTGGAATCCCCTTTTGATGTATGAAAATACATTGGCTGTGGCTAAAATATTCCTGCTAAGTGACTGAAAGGTAAAATGCCACTCATTTGAGAAAAAAATAAAAACAGAAAAAGAAAAGTCACTCAAAAAACATGTCAATTCAAACTTTTAAAAAGTTTTGATTGAGCTATGAGGTACAAGAAAATACAGAGAAAATTATAAAGTGATAGGTACTCTAGCCAAAACATCAACAGAATAATGCGAACCTCAGACAAAGAAAGTTTTCCTGGTGTATGAAGAGGACCCAGAATGTGTTTCATTTCTTGATAATTACTGACAAGCCACTATGTGCTGGACCTAGGGCTGAATGACACAGAAACACCTATGTTGAATTCAAAATAGGGATCTTCATAGATTGGAATCAGCCTATTTTACATAGTGAAATACATACATGTCCTAGCAATAATGCAAGCAGATAAAGTAGTATTATTGTTCTGAGGAATTTAATGACAATTACATAAATATCCTCAAACAAACTGTTTATTTTCTCTGGGCTCAGAAAAGTTTGAAGTAGAAGAGTATTTCACTAGTTATAACAGAAATACCTGATCCACTAATTAAGAATGCACATTTCAAAAAAGAATACACATTTCTAGACCCTATCCCAGACCTGAGTCTTCACAAATATTTTTCAATAAAAAACTATTGTGGGAACCAGCAGTTAGCGTAATGGCTATGTCCCTGGACTCCCACGTAGTCAACTGCAGTTCGCGTCCCAGACCCGGTGGCTTAAAACTCACGCCGGGCGCATGTGCATGCATACCCAAGAACCCGAGAGGAGAATGGAGGAGAAGGGATTGCGGCGTGACCATCCTCCCTGGGGGGTGATTTTTCGCTTTCTGTCTCTATGTCTCTCTGTCTGTCTGGCGAGTGCACGCACCCTATAGCGAAAACCTCTCCAAAAAAAAATTTTAAAAATAAAAACTATTGTATTATCAGAAATACATCCATTAATACACCAGAAAGAATATCTGGCCATGGGGCATAGGAACCCAGATTCTATTAATAGGAGTTTCTTACTCTTGTTCAAGTCTGAAACTACTCAAACACATTTTCTTGAAATTAACTTCTTATACTATTGTGTTACAATCACATGAGGTATGTACAAAGAGAGTTTTTAAGTAAGTTTAACTAAAATCAGTGCATCAAATAAAAGAGTCTAAGCCAATTACTACAATTACCAAATTTATCATACTGGAATAAACCATATTTTTGTTGCATCCCCCAAACATTGTGGCAAATATGACTTCCCTGGCCACATTAAGAAATTATTTCAGGTTTTCCAAAAATGTTACTAGATTAGAAGATTTTTTAAAAGTTTAAAGGACAAGTAAATTTGGGACAAAGGAAGTGCTGTTTTGGTTCCTCTGCTTACAATCCTGTTTCATACTGAGAATAGCAACTTCTGAGGACCCTTATACAAAGCATCAATCTCGACAATTCTTATGAATTAATAACTTATTTTTATTCCAGCACCCTGACCTACAGACACATGTACCTTAAAACAAATTCTCTTCTAGTCTGAAAGATTTTAGAATCTCATTTATTTAAGTAGATTATTCCATGTCCAAAATACACATGATTTTACTACATTAATTTTCTATTAGAATTAAATATTCTTGGATTTAAGAAAACAATAACCCTTGGGACCAGCAAATGGTGTAAAAGTTACATTGCTGGATTCCCATGTAGTTGACCACAGTAGTCCGAGTCCCAAAACCAGTGGCTTATACCTCACACAGGACACATGTGCATGCGTGCATGCCCAAGATCCTGAGAGGAGAATGGAGGAGAAGGGATTGCAGCATAGCTTTCCCCCCTCCCCCAAGGGGGTGATTTCTCTCTTCCTGTCTCTCTTTCTCTCTCTATGGGTCTGATGGGCACACACACCCTATAGCAAAAATCTCTTAGAAAAAGAAAACAAGAACCCTTAAATAATTTTTAAATCTACTCTAGTATTAATTTCTTACTATATTCATTGCATCATGGGAAGAAGTTATTAGCCTAAATCTTAATCATGATCTTAGTTATTAGCCTAAATAAAGGAATTTAATTTTACTTAGCATGTAGAACTTTTACTATATCAGAGAAGATTATCTTTTTTAATATCAAAGCTATCTAGAGTTTAAATAGAAAGTAACAGCTGACATTTATATATTTGCAATGCATCAGGGAATATAGTGATCACCTTCAAATCTCACAAAAACACTGTAAGGCCAGGCAACTACTTGAAATGCTCTAATACATAACAGAGAGCTGGATGTGAAGTAAGCCCTCGAGAACTATTAAAGGGATGGAAGAGTAAGTCAAAGGGCCTATGTGTAGTTGACTTCTAGGAATAACAAATAGGTTTCTGAGTCTTACGTATTAACTCATGCCATTTCATAGGATTTCTGAATTATTATTTGGGGATGGATTATGAGCCAAGGGTAAGCCCAAAGTAAGAGGTCTCCGGATTGAGGGATGTCTGCTGTGCTCACAGAATGGATAAAGACCTCACTTATGCCAACACCTGCCATCCTTAACACAGACGGTCCTTTGTTTGTAGCACCATCTGTCCACTAAACTGCTCTGTTAAACTGACAGTGGCATTTTCTAATCCCTATGTGTAAGAAATCAAAGTTTAAGAAAAGTGAGAAAAGTAAAAGAAGTTTTTAAAAAGTAAGCTAAATAAAAGAATGTAATCTTTTTTTAATTTCCAAAATTAGGCAAAACCCTTAGTGTGAGCTAAACTGACTACAAGCAGTTATCAAATAACTGAGCCCAGCCCAGTATTTCTTAAAACTCTACAAGCTCTAAAAACTCTAATAGGCATGCTCAGTTATTTGATAACCGAGTTATTTGATAACGGGCATGCAAACCACCTGGTGATTCTGTAGAACTGGCTGATTCTGATATATTCGTAGTAGGCTTGCATGGGCCCCACAAGTCTACAGCTCTAACAAGCTCTCAGGTGGGGCCGATATTGATGCTACTGATCAGCAAACAATAGTTTGAATAGTAAGGCCCTGGGCAACTGAAGCCATAAAACTAAACAGATGAAGACTGAGGACATAAGGTTTTGTACAAATGCTGGAGTCATCTCAAATGTCTTCATAGGAAGAGACTTACGCTCCTTGCCTCGTGCAAGAAAGGAACTGGCTGGCAGACAGAAATTAGTGAAGAAAATGCTTATCATCAACCCATGTGATATTTACCCCAAATTTTTTACTGAGTACCTATTCTATAACAGGCACTATTCTAGATCTTGGACAAACAGCAGTAAATAAAAAAAAGTTACTTAACCTCATAGAGCTTATGTTCTACTTGGGGAAGGCCATCTGTAAACAAGTGTATAATTCAGGAAAGGGAAAAGGAATGTTTTTTTGTTGGGGAACCTGATGCGAAAGAACAGGGTTGCAATTTTAGATACAATAGCCAGATAAAAAATGGCATGTGATTAAAGACCTGAAGGAGGTGAAAGAGGTGGCCAAGCAAGCAGAGGAAACAGGAAGTGCCAGACTGCAGGAGAGTTCCTCTGCCTGACATGAGGTGCAAGGCAACAGTCTGAATAGTGGGTGAGAGAGAAAGAGAGGAATAAGAGATGAGACCAAAGTGGAGGAGGTTTAGACCGAATAAGGTTTCATGGACCTGTCAGAGCTAGAGTTTTTACTCTGGATGATACACAAATTTACAGTACATAAAACTGGTATGAAACCTCAGAAAAATACAGAATAGCTTTCTTACTTTCCATCATAATAGTTTGTGAAAACACGAAACCTCTGAATATCTGAACAGTGTGGTAGGCAGTTAGCTAGTAATGAGCAGGCCGCCCTAAGAGAATAGCAGAAGGACACATGTCACATCAATCACAATTTATCAGAAGTTACAAACAGACCCTCCATGTAATGCCTTCTTCCCACCCAGCTCTTGGCGCTGGAAAGGGGAGGCAAGTACTATTTTCTTCCTTGGTATCTGAGTATAACACAGAGGGATGATTGTAAATTTCCCTCTTATGCACTCCTCATAAATACAAAAAGGCCCAACTAGACATTTTAGTCAACATCCTAATTCCCACTGGGGCATTAAACTAATTGGGCAGTTTATCATGATTTGCACTGGGTTAAGTAATCAAATTCCTCAAATTCTTCACCTGTGAAAGAGTTGTAAAAGTGCAGGAAAAAGCCCTGAATTCAAACAAAAGACATAGATAGTGTGACAGACCTCCCACTGTTAAATACGCATTATCACTTCTGATAATAAAAATAACACCTAACCAGTTCCAAACACAGTTGCTACCTAGTAACCTGCCTGCCCAAAAGTCTTTTGGGTGTCCTTCTTTTCTAAAATCTTTCTTTCCTATTAAATTTTCTTTTCTACCTACTTTTATTGTGGCTGTGACTTCATTTTGTGCCAAGGGACAGGTCTCTAATTTTAGGGATCTGGATTCTAAGAACCAAGGATTTTACACAACGCAGCTCAACACTCT